ATTAAAGAGGCTGTCTTTACTCCATAGTAAGCTCTTGCCTCCTTTGTCAAATATTAATTGAGCATAATGTCTTGGGTCTATTTCTGGGTTCTCTGTTCTGTTCCACTGGTCTATATGCCTGTTCTTGTGCCAGTACCAGGCTGTTTTGATTACAGTAGCTTTGTAGCATAACCTGATATCTGGTATTGTGATCCCCCCTACCTTGTCCTTCTTTTTCAAGATTGCTGTGGCTATTCGGGGTCTTTTTTTGTTCCATATGAACTTTTGAAGTGTTTGTTCTAGTTCTGTGAAATATGTCATTGGTATTTTGATGGGGATTGCATTGAATCTATAGATTGCTTTGGGCAATATGGACATTTTAATTATGTTAATTCTTCCAATCCATGAACAAGGTATGTGTTTCTACTTTTTTATATCTTTCTCTATTTCTTTTTTCAATGTCCTGTAGTTTTCTGCAAATAGATCCTTGACTTCTTTGGTTAAGTTTATTCCTAGGTATCTTAATTTTTTTGCCACAATGGTAAATGGGATTGTTATTTCAGTTACTCTTTCTATGAGTTCATCACTGGTGTATAAGAACGCCATCGATTTATTGACATTAATTTTATATCCTGCTACTTTGCCAAATTCTTTTATTAAGTCTAATAGATTTTTGATGGAGTCTTTAGGGTTTTCTATGTATAATATCATGTCATCTGCAAATAATGACAGTTTTACTTCCTTCTTTCCAACTTGGATCCCTTTTATTTTTACTTCATGTCTGATTGCTGTGGCTAAGACTTCCAGTACTATATTAAATAAGAGTTGCAAAAATGGGCATTCTTATCTTGCTTCCTGTTCTTAAGGGAAATGCTTTTAGTTTCTGCTCATTGAGTATGATGTTGGCTGTAGGTCTTTCATAGATGGCCTTTATTATGTCGAGATACGATCCCTCTATTCCCACATTGGTGAGCATTTTTATCAGAAATGGATGCTGGATTTTGTTGAATGCTTTTTCAGTATCTATTGATATGATCATGTGGTTTTTATTTATGTAGTGTATCACATTTATTGATTTGCGAATATTGTACCAGACTTGCATCCCTGGGATGAATCCCACTTGGTCATGGTGAACAATTTTTTGATGTATTGCTGGATCCGATTTGCTAGTATTTTGTTCAGTATTTTCTTTGCCAAATATTAATTGACCATAAAGTCATGGGTTGATTTCTGGGCTTTCTGTTCTGTTCCATTGAACTATATGCCTGTTCTTGTGCCACTACCAGACTGTTTTGATTGCAGTTGCATTATATAGTAGTTTGATACCTGGTATTGTGATCCCTCCAACTTTGTTCTTCTTTCTCAAGATTGCTGAGGCTATTCATGGTCTTTTTTTGGTTCCATATAAATTTTTGAAATATTTGTTCTAGATCTGTGAAATATGCCATTGATATTTTAATAGAAATTGCATCAAATCTATAGATTGTTTTGGGTAGGATGGACATTTTAATAATGTTAAGTCTTCCAATACATGAACATGGTACATGCTTCCACTTATTTACATCTTCCTCTATTTCTCTCTTCAGTGTCCTATAGTTTTCTGAGTACAAATCTTTTACCTCCTTGGTTAGATTTATTCCTAGATACATTATTTTTGTTGTTGAAACAGAAAATGGAATTGTTTTCTTGGTTTCTCTTTCTGAGAATTTGTTATTGTGTATAAATATGCCACTAATTTCTGAATATTAATTTTGTATCCTGCTACTTTGCAGAATTCTTTTATTAAATCCAGATTTTTAGTGGAGTCTTTAGGGTTTTCTATGTATAATATCATGTCACCTGTAAATAATGACAGTTTTACTTCCTCTTTTCCAGTCTGTATGCCTTTTTTTTATCTTCTTCTTGTCTTATCGCTGTGGCTAGGATTTCCAGTACTACATTGAACAAGAGCAGTGAAAGTGGACATCCCTATCTTGTTCCTGATCTTAAGGGAAAGGATTTTATTTATTTATATTTATTTATTTAAGTAATCTTTATTGTTGAAAGTATTACAGATGTTCTCCGCTTTTTCCCCTTTGACCCTGCTCACATCCCCCTTCTGCCCTCCCCAAGCTATTGTCTGTGTCCATTGGTTATGCACATAACTTCTTTGGTTTATCTTTTCCCTGCCCTCCCCTTCCCTTTGAGGTTTGTCAGTCTCACAACCAATCTGCACTTCTTAATCCCTTCACCTTTTCCATACATCTCCCAACCTCCCTCCCATCTGGCAAACAACAAAAAGTTTTCTGTATCTATGAGTCTGTTTCTGTTCTGCTTTTTAATTTTGTTTGTAGATTCAGTTGTTGATAGATATGTAATTATTACCACTTTATTGTTCATAAATTTTATTGTTTTTTATCCTCACCCGAGGACATTTTTACATTTTTTGTTCAGATAGAGTGGGAGGGAGAGAGAGAGAAAGAGAGAAACATCGACGTGAAAGGGACACATCGAATGGCTGCCACCCACACAACTCAACCAGGGCCGGGGGACAAACTGCAACCGAGATACATGCCCTTAAGCGGGAACCAAACCTGTGTCTCTCTGGACCACAGGCCGATGCTCTAACCGCTAGCCAAACTGGCCAGGGCTATTGTTCATATTTTTAATCTTTTTCTTCTTCTTCAAGAAGACCCTTCAACATTTCATATAATACTGGTTTGATAGTAATGAACCTTTAGCTTTTTCCTGTCTGGGAAGTCTTTATATGTCCATCGATTCTAAATAACAGCTTTGCAGGATAGAGTAATCTTGGTTGTAGGCTTTTGCTTTTTTTTTTTCTTTATTGATTTTAGAGAGAGAGGAAGTGCGAGGGAGAGAGAGATAAAAACATCGATGAGAGATAACATTGATTGCCCCCTGCATGCCCCCCACTGGGGATCAGGCCCAGAACCTGGGCATGTGTCCTGACCTGGAATCGAACCAGTGACCTCTTGGTGCATGGGTTGATGCTCAACCACTGAGCTACATATGCCAGGACTGCAAGTTTTCCATATATGACCTTTATTATGTTGAGGTATGAGTCCTCTATTCCCACCTTGCTGAGAGTTTTTATCATAAGTGGGTGCTGAATTTTATCAAGTGCTTTTTCTGCGTCTGTTGATATGATCATGTAATTTTTATCTTTCATTTTGTTTATGTGATGTATCACATTTATTGATTTTTTTTTTTTTTTTTTTTTTTTTTATCCTCATCCGAGGACATTTTTCCATTTTTTGTTCAGATTGAGTGGGAGGGAGAGAAAGAGAGAGAAACATCGACGTGAAAGGGACACATCGAGTGGTTGCCACCCGCACGACCCAACCAGGGCCGGGGACAAACTGCAGCCGAGGTACGTGCCCTTAGCGGGAACCGAACCCGGGTCTCTCTGGACCGCAGGCCGACGCTCTAACCGCTGAGCCAAACCGGCCAGGGCTGATTTTTTGATATTGTACCAGCCTTGCATCCCTTGAGTGAATCCTACTTGGCCACGGTGTATGATCTTCTTAATGTATTGCTGGATCTGGTTTGCTAATATTTTGTTGGGGATTTTTTAAAATTTATATTTTTATCCTCACCCAAGGACATTTTTTCATTTTTTGTTCAGATAGAGTGGGAGGGAGTGGGGGAGGAAGGGAGGGGGAGAGAGAGAGAGAGAGCGAGAGAGAGAGAGGAAGAAACATCGATGATGTGAAAGGGACACATTGAGTGGCTGCCTCCTGCACGACCCAATCTGGGCCAGGGATAAACCGCAACCAAAGTATGTGCCCTTAGAGGGACCTGAACCCTGGTCTCTCTGGACCGTAGGCTGATGCTCTAACCTCTGAGCCAAACCGGCCAGGACTTTGTTGGGGATTTTAACATCTATGTTCATCAGAAATATTGGCCTAAAATTTTCTTTATTTGTAGTGTGCTTATCTGGTTTTGAAATTAAAATAATGCTGGCTTCGTAAAAAGAGTTTGGAAGGTTTTCCTCCTCTTGAATCTTTTAGTATATTTGAGAAGGATAGGTGATAATTCTTCTTTGAATGTTTGGTAAAATTTGCCTGTGAAGTCATTTGGTCCAGGACTTTTGTTTGCTGGGAGTTTTTTTGATTACTGCTTCAATTTCATTGGTTATCAAGCTAGTCAGGTTCTCCAATTCTTTCTGATTCAGTTTTGGAAGATTGTATGTTTCTAGGAATTTGTCCATTTTGTCCAGGTTGTCCAATTTGTTGGTATATAATTGTTCATAGTATTTTCTTACAATCCTTTGTATTTCTGTGATGGTAGTTGTTACTTCGCCTCTTTCATTTCTGATTTTATTTATTTGGGTCCTTTCTCTTTGTTTCTTGGTGAGTCTGGCTAAAGGTTCATCAATCTTGTTTATCTTTTCAAAGGGGCAACTCTTGGTTTCATTGCTCTTTTGTATTTTTTTTTTTGAGATTCTATGTCATTTTTTTCTGCTCTGATCTTTATTATTTCCTTCTATGTACTCTGGACTTTTCTTGTTTTCTTTCTTGTTAGGTGTAGGTTAGATTGTTTATTTGAAAACTTTCTTGCTTCTTGAGGTAGACCTGTAATGCTATGAACTTCTCTATCAGGACTGCTTTCACTGTGTCCTGCTGATTTTGGGTTGTTGTGTGTTGATTTTCATTTACTTCCAGGTATTGCCTTATCTTCTAAAGGGCTGACTTGTTTTGGATTGGGTGACTTGAAGCCAGAGAAGAAAAGAAAATGAATTAGGGAGAAGTGCCTTGGAATTCCAGGTCCTCCCTCCCCCTCCCCCAGCCACCTCTCAGAGGATTCTCCTCAAATGCCATGGAATATTCCCATAGTCCTTGAGGATTGCCACCACGGAGACAGGGAGTTGCGTTCTGTTGCTCTGGTGACCAGTTGTCTGAGACCTCTTCATTGGAGTTGCCACCGGCCTGTGTGGCTGAGGCTTAGAGGAAGGCTTTGGGCAGAAGCAGGAGAGAGCACAGGAGTGGAGTCATAGTCTTGGTTCTACTTTAATCTCAGTGATGTCCACCCTTTCCGTGTTCTCAGATGTGACCTCAGCCCAGAAGCTGGAAGGCAGCTTGTTAAAGACCTACAAACAAGACATTTACCCTAACAAGATGTTCCTGGCCTATAAAGGTAGATGCCTAAGACTTAGTATATCATAATTGCCTCTAGGGGGTAGTATTCCACTGCTGCTGAGGAATCAGTATTGGCACAAGCTTCAGCAAGCGGAGCAGTCTGTTCTTTTTAACAAAAGTGCCCCATGGTAGCCCCGACTGGTTAGAGCTTCAGCCTGCGAACCGAAGGGTCTCAGGTTCGATTCTCCATCCAGGGCACATATCTGGGTTGCAGGTTTGATTCCCGGCCCAGGTTGGACTCATGCGGGAGGCAACCAGTCAATGTGTCTCTCTCACATCGATGTTTCTCTCTCTCTCCCTCCCTCCCTTCCACCCTATTTAAAAATCAATGCATAAAATTGCCCAGTGGTGGAAAAGAGCAGAAAATGTCCTGGGTCATTCCGTGCCCTCTGCCTTTCTCTGGGGGCTTCCAGAGATTTGGTGTAAGCTCTGGTATATCCTCTTCCCCAGCTCTGTGTGGGGCCTGCATTGGCACTGCACTTTCTTCCACCTCTTCCTCCACTTCACCTTCTGTTCCTGAGTCAGAATGGTTCTTAAAATGGAATCTTCTGATAAACAGCCAGCCCTTGCCACTGTGAAAGTCAGTGTTACCTTTGTTTAATCTCAGGTATTTATAACTCCCAGGTTATACATCATTTTCACCCTTTTAAATGGCATAGGCTTCAGTTGTCTCTTTAAAAAGATAAAAATTGCCTTGGCCAATGTTCATACTGTTGAACTGTGGTTGAGAGTCTCCCCATGCACTGAAAAGTTGCTGGTTCAATTCCCAATCAGGGCACATAGCCAGGTTTTGGGTTTGATACCTGGTACAGGAGGCAGCTGATCTGATTGATGTCTCTCTCTCTACCTCGTCTCTCTCAAAACTTAATAAAAACATATTTAAAAAAACAAAAAGACAAAAATTATAACTATTTACTAACAGCACATTGTTTTTATGAGAAGGAGGGCAAAAAGTTGTCTTTTCCTAGGCAACTTTCCAAAGCTCCAGGAAAGCCAGGATAGATTGTGGGCTGCAGAGTGGGCTCTGTGGTTCTTCTCACAGTCTGCATGACCAATGAAGGACAACCCTGGGTTTCTTCCGTGGTGCACAAGATCCGACAGCAGATCGCACAGGATCCCTCCCTGAACTACGAGTACTTGCCAGTGACGGGCATGAAATCATTCATCCAGGCCTCCCTGGAACTTCTCTTTGGAAAGCATAGTCAAGTCATCGTGGAGAACAGGGTGAGAAGGGCCCTTCTTTCACTCACTCAGACACAGGGTGTGGAGATCAGAGACTGAACCTTCTTGAACCTGAAATGGAACTTGGAGGGCCCCCTGGCATTGACAAAGGAGACACCTGAGGCTAACACTGTCCAAAGCTTGTCACTGAAGGGCAGAGCCATCATCAGAACCCAAAACCTGTGCTCTTGGCTCTAGCCCACACTGTTAATGTGCAAGCTCTTTCAAGAAAGGAATTATCTGCCATGGCTGGTGTGGCTCAGTTGGCTGGGCATCATCCCATGAACAAAAGGTTGTTGGTTCGATTCCCAATTAGGGCATATTTCTGGGTTGTGGGCTCGTTCCCCATTAGGTAGCATGCAGGAAGCAGCCAATTGATGTTTTGCTCTCACATTGATATTTCTCTCTCTCTCTCTCTCAAAAATCAATAAAAATATTGTTTCTAACAAAAGAAAGGAATGATCTAAATCTGAGCTGGTAGTAGTATCACCATTACTTTTTTAAAGTGTTATTTCTGTTTATTTTTTGCTGGCAGGTAGGGGGTGTGCACACAGTTGGTGACAGTGGTGCCTTCCAACTTGGGGCTCAGTTCCTCAAAACCTGGTGTATAGGTTCTCAAATAGTTCACATTATTTCTTCTAAAAAAGGTAAGTGTTATACAAGGTGAGGGTGACAGAAGATCCCTGTCCCGTTCCTAATTCCCATTCAATTGTCAGTCTTCACCATTGTCCTTCTCACTCTCCGTCATGACAAATGGTGGACAAGGCAAGGTATGCTTGTCCTTTTCCTATCATTGCCCTACTTTCAATCATGACCTTCAGGCCCATTCTCTGGTGTATCTACTTTCGTGTCTCCATTTCCCATGTACCAGCTGGTGAGGGCTGTCTTCCCACAGAACAGCATGGACTCGTCTTCCAGGACAAGGGCTTTATAGTATATGAACACTCCTTCTGGGACTCTGAGCAGCTATACATGAACCCCAACATACTCCTCGATGTGGTGGAGGTAGAGTCCCCTTCCCCCAAAACTTCTCCCTAGACCTGATTTACAGTTTTATTTTCCTTTCTTCCCCACCCTTCTGATTATCCAAGGCCTTTTCTAGGCTTGGATTTGTCTAGTCCTTTGGTAGGAACCAACATGGAGGGTCACTTCTCCAGCACCCTGGTGCCCCTACCACATGGTAGGGGCCAGTGCCTGATGGGACAGTCTCTATCCGCAGCAGGCTCCACATGGCTGTATCTTTGTGATTGGGAACATTGGCAACTGCAAGTTGACACCATCTCAGTGGACAGCGTTGATGGCCACCATGAAGGTGAGGCCAGTGTCTCACATGACTTTTCCCCTCTTACCACCTACCATTGCCTTCATTAGTCTCATCCATTTTTTTCATCCTCCTTTCTCCTACAGAGAAAGCAGATATTCCCATTTTTTGACATTCCCTATCAAGGTTTCTACACCGGTGACCTGGAAGAAGATACTAGATTCTTACAATACTTCGTGTCTGAAGGCTTTGAGTTCTTCTGCAGCCAGTCTCTGTCCAAGAATTTTGGCATTTATGGTATGGTGGGCAGAAGGAGAAGAGAGGGTCTGATGCTGAAGTGCTGCCACGGCACAAACGATGTGTTTGACATACCCGACCCTGCGGAGAATGCCAAGGCCTCCAGAGAGGGCAGCACGAGAGAGGGGCTAGACCTCGGTTCTGCGGAATCCTCTCAGCTCAGTTACTAAAACTGGCTCCAGTTACATTGTTTCCCCGTTAGACCTTGTTTCTTCATTTATAAGATGAGGGGTTAAGAATTAGTTATCTTTCTAGTTCCTTCCACCATTGAGACTCTTACAGCTACTCTTTCTGGAAGAAGGGTCTCTGGCAAATCCCTGGGACCTGGCCACCAGCTTGGCTGGGCTGGGATGAAAGCCCTGTAGGTTACCCCTCTCTTCTGCAAGGCCCGAGGCACAGTTATAGGGGGAGGAGTGGTAATGGAGGAGGGGACTGAGAACAAGGCTGTTTGTCTCATTGCTGCAGATGAAGGAGTGGGGATCTTAGTGGTGGTGGCACTCAACAACAAGTTCCTGCTGTGTGTCCTCTCTCAGCTGAGGAACTTCGCTCTGGCTCTGTGGCTAAACCCTCCTATAATGGGTTCTCGCATTATCACCTCCATCCTTTGTAACCCTTCTCTGCAGGAAGCATGGTAAAGGTGAAGGATGGGGGCAGGGAGGGATGGGCAGAGCCTCTAGATACTTACAGACTTCCTGATTCACAGGATTCAGCTGGGTGTTTCTTCTCCTGCCCCTGTTGCCTCTTTACTCCATTCGTTCATCAACATTTACTGAGGATCACTGTGTTCCAATGGCAGTGGCTAGGCCAACCCTTGCCCTACTATGGGGGAGCGGGTAATAGGACGTCTTCCCTGGGACACAGGCTGATGAATTACTTGATCTCTTGCAGATAGCAGGAGATTAGGAAGCCTCAAGGGCCTGCTACTCTGGCAAGTTTGCCTAGGAGTCTGCTTGGCTTGCTTAAATTAATACAGTCTGAAACTTTTCTCCCATTCATAACCATCTCAGATCCCGGGCTCTAATACTGTGTCCTCAGGCACACTGGCTGGGGCTTCTGAAGGGAAGAGAAGTGGAATGTCAATGAGGAGGTTGGGAGCAGAGGGAGACTTCACACTCTAATTTCTTGCTGTCTTTCCTTTGGCAGGAAGCAGAATCTGAAAGCGGTTGTAGAGAGCACTATGTTGATCAAAGAAAAAGTTAAGGAGAAGCTCCGGCTCCTGGGAACCCCTGGCTGCTGGGATCACATCACTAACCAGAATGGGACCCATGGCTATCTTGGCCTTGACTGTAAGTATCTCGAAGGGTATAGCTCTCCTCTTTCTGACCTTGGGCTTGTATTTGAACATTCAACTTCACTGACTAGGTGACCAATTTCTAGCTTCACACCAGATCTTCAATTTTTCTTGAGGAAACGGAGCTGCTTTGAAGGCCCTTCTGAGCCCCTAGAAATGCTGATGCTCTCCTCTATCCCCCATAATCTACCCAGGGCTAGAGGGAACTTAGAGGTGGCTACCCCAGGATCTGAGACCCTGTGATTATCACCAGTCCAACAGGTGGAATACCTGGTCAAGAATAAACATATCTACATTCCCAAAAATGGTCGAATTAACTTCACCTGTATCAATGCCTGCAACATAGATTACATCACTGAGAGCATCAACGAGGCTATCCGCGTCACAAAGGACTCAGAAAAATCTCTTGAGGAAGTAAATGACTCCTAGTTAGAATAAAGGCTTTAGTCTTTGCAAAAATTCTGTGCTGATTGTTCACTGCTACAATTGATTTCTCTGCAAAGTATTCTGTCTCTCTCTCTACTTACAAAGTATTGGTCTGGCATCAGCAAGGGGTGGGGTGGGGTGGGGAAGGCCCAGAGAAAAAGGGAATATCTATCTTCATAAAACATCTCATATTTATTGAACCTACTATGTCAAGGCCCTGACCTGATGTCTTGGTTCATTTGGGCTGCCATAACAAAATACTACGGACTGGATGGCTTATAAACAACAGGAGTTCATTTCTCACATTTCTGAAGGCTGAGCCGTCCAAGATCAAGGCGCCAGCAGATTCTGGGTCTGGTGAAAGCCCACCACCTGGTTCATAAACAGCATCTTCTAGCTGTAAACTTACCTGGAGAAGGGGTGACGGATCTCTCTGGGGTTTCTTTTATTTTTATTTTATTTTATTATTTTTTTTTATCCTCACCTGAGGACATTTTTCCATTTTTTTATTCAGATAGAGTGGAAGGAAGAGAGAGAGAGAGAAACATCTACGTGAAAGGGACACATCGAGTGGTTGCCACCCGCACAACCCAACCAGGGCCAGGGACAAACTGCAACCGAAGTACACGCCCTTAGGGGGAACCGAACCCGGGTCTCTCTGGACCGCAGGCCAACGCTCCAACTGCTGAGCCAAACCGGCCGGGGCCTGGGGTTTCTTTCATAAGAGCACCAATTCCATTCATGAGGGCTCTACCTTCATGACCTAACCACGTCCAAATACCATCACATTGGTGATCAGGTTCCAACATATGAATTTGGGGGATACACAAACATTCAGACCATAGCATCTGAGCATCAAAGGGAATGTAAAAAACATGTAAAATCCAGTCCTTTTTCTCCAGAAGCTTAGTTGGGAGACAACCTTAGTCACATGAAACAAACAGTTAAGTAACATTTTGAGGCTAAATATAATAAAAAGGCACAACAGATTATATTAGATATGATGATTCCAGTCCTGAACCTTCATGTCATCCCAGCAGACTGAGTGGAGCAAAGATGAATTGCCCTGAAGAGCCCTTCCCAAATTATAGGTTCATGAGCAAATTTAATGTTGTTATTGTTCTAAGGCACTAAGTTTGGGAGTGATTTGTTACACAAGTTTAGATAGCTGGAACAACCAGTTTATCTTTCATGTCTCTTTTAATCTGTAGCTTCCTCCTCCATCTTTTTTTCCCCTTGCGATTTTTTATTTTATTATTTTTAACTTATCTTTATTGTTGAATGTATTACAAATGTTCCCCCTTTTTTCCCTATTGACCCCCTTCTCCCTGCTCCCACCCCCCTCCTGCCTTTCCTCACACTGTTGTCTGTGTCCATATATGCATAGAAGTTCTTTGGTGTATTTCTTCCCACTCCTCATCCTCCTTTCCTTTGAGGTTCGTCAGTCTAACAACCAATTTGTTCTTCTTAATCCCTTCACTTTTTTCACCCATTCCCCCAACCCCCTCCCATCTGGCAACCAACAAAATATTCTCTGTATCCATGAGAATGTTTGTTCTGCTTGTTCATTTTGTATGTAGATTCAATTGTTGATAGGTGTGTATTTATTGCCATTTTGTTTGTTCATGTTTTTTTTTTTTCTTCTTCTTTTTCTTCAAGAAGACCCTTCAACATTTCATATAATACTGGTTTGGTGGTGATGAACTCCTTTAGCTTTTTCTTGTCTGGGAAACTCTCTATATGTCCATCAATTCTAAATGACAGCTTTGCAGAATAGAGTAATCTTCACTGTAGGTTCTTGCTTGTCATCATTCTGAATATTTCTTGCCACTTCCTTCTGGCCTGCAAAGTTTCTTTTGAGAAATCAGCTGACAGTCTATGGGAACTCCCTTGTAGGTAACTAACTGCTTTTCTCTTGCTGCTTTTAAGATTCTCTCTTTGTCTTTAACCTTTGGCATTTTGATGATGATGTGTCTTGGTGTGGGTCTCTTGGGGTTCATCTTGTTTGGGACTCTCTGTGCTTCCTGGACTTGTATGTCTGTTTCCTTCACCAAGTTAGGAAAGTTTTCTGTCATTTTTGTTTCAAATAGGTTTTCAATTTCTTGTTCTCTCTCTCCTCCTTCTGGCACCCCCATGACGTGAATGTTGGTACACTTGAAGTTGTCCCAGAGGCTCCTTACACTATCCTCATTTTTTTTGGATTCTTTTTTTCTCTTTGCTGTTCTGATTGGGTATTTTTTGCTTCCTTATATTCCAAATCAATGGTTTGCTTCTTGGCTTTACCTACTTGACTATTGAATCTCTCTAAATTACTCTTTATTTCAGTTAGAGCATCTTTAATTTCTGACTAGTCCTTTTTTACACTCTTAAGGCCCTCACTAAGTTTATTGAAGTTCTCACTAAGTTCACTGAGCATCCTTCTAAGCAGTGTTTTGAACTCTGCATCTGTTAGGTTGCTTATCTCCATTTCACTTGGTTCTTTTCTTTCATTTGGGACATGTTTCTTTGTCTCCTCATTTTGGCTGCCTCCCTGTGTTTGTTTTTAGATATTAGGTAGAGTTGCTATGTCTCCTGGGCTTCCTAGGTGGCCTATTGTAGTAGGTGTCCTGTAGGATCTAGTGGCACAGCCTCCCTGGCCTCCCAGCTGGACCCTCAAGGTGCATCTCTCATGTGGACTTTACACCCTTCTGTTTTAATTGAATCTTGATTGCTGTTGTCACATCAATGAGCGGGTTTTACTCAAGCTGATTAGCTGCAAGGACTGGCTGTGTCCACTATCCACCAACCTCTGACTGCTTTGGTTGATCAGCTGTGCAGGGGACCACCACACATAGCAAGACTTACTTCAGCAAGGTTCTGGTACCCACTGAGTCCATTCCTTGAGTGTGTCACTTGTGGAGGTGGTCGGGTGGTGGTGCTTCAATGTGGTCTGCTGTCCTTTGGATGTACTGGCTCTAGGACAAGGTTAGCTACTGCCTGTGTTCTACCCGGAGCCACCAGGCATAAGCTACAAAGCGATCTGCAGATGGCTACTTCTTATGCTGGGCTTGGAGGTGCCCAGGAAAAGCCAAGTTGTGAACCAAGGTTGGCTGCTTCTATTGCCAGGCCTGGAGCCACTTAATGAGAGGTATGGGGCTCACTGAGAACAGATGCTGCTTGTTTGAGAGAATTTAGGAAAATGTGAAGCAGGATCCAAGACAGGCCAATCCTACGGTAAAGCCAGTTGGAACTGCTTGGATGGGCCTGAAAGTTGAGTGGGGCAGGACCTCAGGGAATCATCAGGGTGGGGCAAACAGTGTAAGCCAGGTTGCTGGAGTCCCAGATATGGCTGCTGCCAGCCTCGTGGGGGAAGGGCTCACCGAAGGAGCAAAGGCCTCTGACGGCATATCTGTCCAGGAGAAAGCCGCCTCTCCAGCCCTCGCTCCAGTGCCAAACAACTCAGTTCTTTTCCGTATGTCTCTGGTACCTTTCAAGCTGCCGCCCCCATGCTGGAGCCTGGAGGGTGTGAGTCTGAATAAGTCCATGTGCCGGCCCTTTAAGAGGAGCTGCCTGGGGCTCCCACAGCCACAGCCACCCTCAGCCTCAGTTCCCACTGGTTTTTCCAGCCAGAAGTTATGGGGATTCTCTTCCTGGCACTGGAACCCTGAGCTGGGCTCTGTTGTGGGACAGGAACCCCTCAGTCCTCAGGGAGGACCTTCCCAGCTGAGGTGTCCTCCTGATTTTTATCTGCCACATGTGGGTGTGGGACCAGCCTGTTATCGCTTCCACCCTCCTACCAGTCTCGATGTGGCTGCTTCTTTAATTCCGTAGTTGTAGGCTCTGGCCAGTTTGGCTCAGCGGTTAGAGCGTCGGCCTGCGGTACAGAGAGACCCGGGTTCGGTTCCCGCTAAGGGCATGTACTTCGGTTGTAGTTTGTCCCCGGCCCTGGTTGGTCGTGCGGGTGGCAGCCACTCGATGTGTCCCTTCACATCGATGTTTCTCTCTCTCTCTCCCTTCCTCTCTCTCCTTCCCACTCTATCTGTAGAAAAAATGGAAAAATATCCTCAGGTGAGGATAAAAAAATAAATAAATAAATAATTCCGTAGTTGTAGGACTTCCATTCAGCTTGATTTCAGGTGGTTTTGAATGATGGTTCTGTAGTTGTAATTTTGATGTGGTTGTGGGAGGAGGTGATACCGCGTTTACCTATATCACCATCGTGACTGGAGGTCTTCTCCTTGCAATTTTTTAAATAGAACTGGGTTTTTTGTCCCGTAAGGTTTCTCACAGACTTAATTTTGCTAATTTCATCCCCAGGGTAATAATTTTAACGTGTTCCTCTGTCTCCACGTATTTTTTTTGAGGGGGAGATAAGTATCTAAATGAGAGGTTTGATCAGATTCAAGTTCAGTTTATTATTTTTTTGGCTTGTTTAGGCCACATCATAGATAGTGATGTTGTGTTTCACCAGGAAGCATGAGATGCAAGTTTTTTATTGTGAGGTCAGCAACCATTGATGATGATAGCTGAGCTCCATTAATTCATTTGTGTGGCAGACTGGCAGATATTCTTACTAGCTGGAATGCTATTATAAATAGAAATTTCCCCTCACTGTGATTTGCATAATAGAAAGGCGTAATTAATGCTCTATTCTTTCCTTAACTTACCAGATTAAAATATATGTTTTACAAATTTAAAATGATGTGATGTTTTATTCTCCTGCAAACATCATCCTTATTGATATTTTAAATGTCTGACCTTTGAGCTGTAGCAGTCAATTTAGTTTGTGAGATCTTTTGATACAACTCCAGCACTTTTTGATAGCTTCTTTACTTTCTAGCATGACAAAAAGTGCCAACATTTTTTTGAACATTTTCTGCCCTACACCTAGAATCAGTCATTTCTCAAAAGAACTCTTATCACTTTTTAGCAGCTGTAAGTATTTGTACACCGCAATCTGGGCTGTTAAGATGCTCATTGCTACTGAGTTGGTCATTATTTCCAATTCTTTTCAGTAAGATAAA